CTTCTTTTTCTTCCAGGAACGAAAAACTGGTGGTGTCTTAACCTCTGGCGCCGGCTCCCGGTCCTTTAAGAGTTTCAGAAGCCAGGAGGTGGGGCAGGGTTTTAGGGTCATGTGACCGCCGTGATTCGCCATTACGACAGTCACATGATCAGAAAGGGTTCCTGATCAAAAGGGGAGATCAGGACCTTTCCGGAGGGCACGTGCTCTCAGCACATGTGTAATTTCTAATTGCATGCAATATGCGGCCTCGCTTGGCGTCAAGGCCCAGATACTGAGAGGCCACATATTTGCGTGCGATTGGCGTCAAGGGGTTAAGATCTCATGTTCATATGTTGGACTATAAAGAAATGTTGATACCCTTCATCCATGAAGAAACTGTGACAGGATTGTAGAAAGGTTTCGATACCTTATCAATAAGAAAGGTAAGTACATAGTGTGAGCGAATATTCAATGTTAACTATTCATATTCAATGTTGTTGCTGGAATCTCCCTCATAATGCAATGCTGGTTTGGCAATATTTCCATAAAGGTGACCATGGAGCATCTTTGCACAGCATTGGATTGATCATGGATTTGGGTGAGTTTTTAAGAGGAGGAGGAGATGGCCCAACTTTGAATTAATCAGTATCTGTGCTCTTGCAGATGGCCCCACAGATGAATGAACCTTTTTATTCTATTCTGTGCCAGTAGATGTTCCTGATAAAGCCTTCACTCCTTCTGAAAAGAATGACAACTTTAGGAATTTTCAAGAACATCAACCTAATGCCAGTGTCAAGGTAGTCACTTCTACTCATCCAGTCAACAAATGACGTGAGTGTACAATACATCACACACAAAATCTTGACTGAGAACAACTTATTTTTGAGCAACAGTAGGTTCCACCGAGATCAAATACAATATTGTGAAATGTTAGAGGGTCATTTAAAGTTTGACATTGAAGTTGAAATTAAGGGCACAAAGGCATGTATGTAGGAATTCTTCACAGGTTCAACAAAGAAAAATTCCCCCTCAACTTGCCAACCAACCTGCAACCAAACAAATTGTTCTAATAGTTCATGTTAAAAACAGGGGTTTAGATTGCACACATTTGCTAATCTATGAGTAAGCTGCAGAGCCTCTTCATGGCACCCCAGTATTCTTCCCACAGATAGACTGATGGCAGGTATGCCTGGAGGGATCCCACCCCTCCTTAAAAGGCACAGGGGCTCACTGGATACCCAGCATATAATACAATGACAGCTAAAATTCCAGTGCACCCCTCATCAATACACCAACAGTACAAACAAACAGCAACTGCCCCATCCTATAAATGGCCTTTGCAGCAAGGAGCACATGGAAGGGTGATGCATGTCAAACAACAACAAAGAAAAATTCCCATTTCAGCTTAGCAACCAGCCTGCAACCAACCGAATTGTCCTATCTAACAGTTCATGTTAAAAACAAGGGTTTGGTTTGGCAGTTAAGGTGTCCAATGCACCACTCATCAATATACCAACAGTACAAACAATTAGCTTCTATATTCAGATTGTTTTATGGAGCTTTGACAATAACACCTAGTAGCTGATTGGTTACTAGGCACAGCTGCGCCAGATTGTATATACTCCATTTTTTAGTACATATCCCCATTGTTATGCTAGACAAAGTTGAGCCTAGTTATTTGAGCATAAACATCTCCTCATCATTAGGATGCGGAGATGTTTAGGGATGTGTATAAAAGTGGATGGGGCACCTAAGTTCCTTTTGCATAAACCTCAAGTTCTTTAAATACAATGGATTTGCACATTTCTGATCTAACAATGGCTGTTTGGCCTAATAATAATATGGCTGGAGAACACATTGTTTTTTCATTTTTTTTTTTTGTTTTATTTTTATTTCTTTTATTGAAGGCTTTTGTAATTAAACATACAATAGTGGGGATGGAGCTTGCCACTAGCTAAGATGGCTGCCTGAGAGCGGAGCTAGTGGTTCCACACAGGAAAACAGCAGACCCACAGGTCCATCAAGTTCCTCCCTAATACAGCACTTTTACTCCCCTATTCTCTAGAGATTATGACTAGAAGGAGAAAAGAGGAGTGCCGGCAGCAAAAGCTGGCAGCCTTCTTCACACAGGGGCACAGGCAAGATGGCGCCGGCTCTCTTCTTCCACCCCGGCCTCTTGCACACCTCAGCAACAATCACAGGCTGGCAAATCTCACAAAAGGAGCAGCCCATCAAAGAGCCAACATTCTTCACCATCTACCCCTTCTTCTGGAAGCACGAAGAATTCAAGACCGAGGAGGGATGGCTTGGATTCTGCACATGAGGTGAGCTCTATTCAGGATTCAGGGAATGACACAAGGGAACTCCCTGATTCTATTGATCATTTTATTGCCAATAATCAGCCTGTACTTGATACAACCCTTAAAGATATGCTTGTAACTTTGAGTAATTATTTGTATGCTGATATGATGCAACGTGTTCACAAATTTGGTGCAGAGCTGCAGGCTGTCTTATCCAGGGTGGATCACATAGAAACAAAGAAAAAAGTTAATTTGCCACAGCAATAAATGATCTGATAGATGATCATGGTCACAAAGAAGAGGAGATGGACACAATCAAAGCTAAAAATTGCGGATAATGAGGACCAGTCTAGAAGGGAATAATTTGAAAAATTAGAGAGATTCCAGAAGCAGTCCAGTGAACTGACCTGCAAAAATATGTCACTCAGATGTTCAGATCTATTTGTACCAGACCTATCAGATTTGGATTACACGTTTGGACAGGATTCACTGTTTTGCTAAGCCATCCATCCTCCTGACCACATTTCCAGAGATATCATATTACAACTGCACTATTTCCATGTGAAAAAATGTCTAATGTCGGCAGTACATAACAGTCATCTTATTCCAGCACAATATAAAGATCTCCAATTTTAAGCTGACTTGCCTCAATACACGCTCCAAAAGTGCAAAAACCTTAACACAATAACGAAAGCACTTAGGAATCACAAGTTCAGCTATAAATGGGGATTCCTGATAAAAATTACTGTCACCAAAGATGGCACAAAATATATGATTGACGGCATGGCAAAGGCATGGCCCTTTTAAACTCTTGGTCCATAATACCTGAAACCCCATCCTCAAATTCCATCCACAAGTAATCCCACCCATATTTATCACGACTGGCGGGGGGTCATGTCCCAAAATTTCACGTACCCATAACTGACCCAAAAAGCGGGAAATTTGATTTCACTTACTTCTTAGTTTCTGTACTAAAGGAGTTCGTAAGCTGAACTTTTTCCCCTCTTACCTTGAGTGGCGAAATGCTACACCTAGGCCTTAAAGACCTGCATGTTCTCGGTGTCTGGCTTTTTTTTTACATGTTTTGTTACTTCCTTTTCTTTTTGGCTTACAACTTATCTATTTCGGTCAGAGACTTCTATATCCTCACTATAACACAAACTCACCTGTGTATGGTATTCCTCAGCGACAATATCCCTGCAACCAAAGAGTGACAAACGCATCTCAGCAGATCCTTTAGAGAACCGTAAGTGACTTTTCCGTGTTACATACCTATAAAATGACACCTCAAATACTGTATATAATGGCAGTGAACTTCCTCACTATTAATGCAAGAGAACTGAATCATCCTGCAAAACTCAGGTCTTTGTGAAATAGGCAACAAGGTTTAACTGCAATGTCCTTTGCGTTCAAGACAACGCATTTCCAAAATCAAAATCACCCTAAGTGCTCTGTTGCTAAGTGTCCTCACATCTTCTTAGTAAACGTGGATACAAAGAAAAAAGGTGAAATTAACAGCCATAAAAGACTCGGTTACTTTTACATTACATAGAGAGGTCTGAGATCCACAGGGCCGTTACCACATTTTGGTTTGCAACATCGACTCCACCACATACACTGTGGGCCAATATCTATCCCCCGAAAAGGTACCAGATCAAATTTTTTAATAAAGTCTTAAAGAAGATTTGCACAATACAACAAGGTTCTCTATTACTTTGTGGAGATTTTAATCTCACACTGGGACCAAAGATGGACTCTACCACAGCTACCTAAAGGCACCAAGCATCACTACAATCATTACTACACAGCCACAAGCTATTTGATGTCTGGAGGTGCTTACATGCCAATAAAATACTACTCCTTCTAAACATAACACATATACCAGAATAGATTTATTTATTGTAGATAAGTGGCTCTTACCCCCCCTAAAAATCAAATCTACTGATATTAACACCATAACTTTGGTCAGACCATGCCTCAGTGATGCTGTTGGTTGGAGATAAATTGTCTATCAAACCTATCCATATTTGGAGATCCAACCCCATGTCTATGACCAGGCTGTTCCTTCCAAGCTCATGCTAGAAAGCAGGATCCATCTACCGTGTGGAATGCTCATTTCTTATTAACCACTTCAAGTCTGGACACTTTCACCCCCTTCTAGTCCAGGCCAATTTTCAGCACTATATAAACACTTTGAATGCCAAACTGCGCGGTCATGCAACACTGTACCCATATAACATTTTTTAGCATTTTTTTGAAACAGATAAAACTTTCTTTTGGTGGTATTTATTCACCACTGGGATTTTTATTTTTTTCGAATATAAATGAAAAAGACCCAAAAATGTAGAAAAAAACGTGTTTTCTTTTCATATAAAATTTTGCAAATAAATAATCTTTCTTCATAAATCCTGGCCAAAATGCCTTCAGCTATCTTTTTGGTAAAAAAAAATAACCCAACTTAGTTTATAAAAAAAATATTAATTTTCAAATTTGTTTGCATTTATATTTTATTTATTTTTGTATTATTATTTATGTTTTTTTTGCATACTGTCACCCTAGCAGTACTTAGGTGTCACCATAGTGACACTGTAGTACTTGTGGGGAGCGATGAAGATTATATATATTTTTTTACACTGATTGCTTTTACACCCATAAAGGCTGTAAATGTAGTAATTTATCTTTCTCTCTGGCTGCATTCTTGCAGCCATTGAGAAATACTGTGGGAGCTGTGATTGGTCACAGCTAGTCACACGGTACAAGGTGTTGTGAATAGCATTGTGTCATGTGACCTCTGTGATCATTCACAGATTTCACAAGTAGTAAACAATGATGTCAGAAGTGACATCTTGTTTTACTACTGTTCATGTTATCACTGATTGCCAATCAGTGATCACATGAATCACATGGTTACATGAATCAGGACCTCCCACAGAGGTCCCTTACAGCGATCTGTGTTCCGCTGTGTCGGCGGACACAGCTGGCACAGATTGCGGTGCTGCGTGTGTGCTTGCTACCAGGTAGCGCGTCCAGGCAATGGATTGCGGGGGGGGATATTTAGAAATGTCCCCCCCCATTGGCAGTGCTCCCTTCTGTCCGTTTATTGGCCTGTGCTGGATGGGAATAGGTTTAAACAAGGAGCAGGGGTTAAGAAGCGAAGGGAACAGCTTATACAAGAGACCCATTTAATAAAATTACAAAATACATACGTTATAAGCAAACAACAAAAACCTCTCCTTCCAAATGATCTTAGACTAATTTTACTAGTAGATTTTGAACAAGTCTCTAGAAGGCTAAAAATGTCATATAACGTGAGCGGTAACAAAGCAGGTAAAGTCTTAGCTAATAATCTTAGAGGCCATTAATATATATAAAACCAAAATACCTTTTATCTTTCACCCAAACAAGATAAATTATATCATCCTCAAGCTATAGCTAAAGCCTTTAGTCAATACTACAGCTCTCTCTATAATCAGCCAGGATCCTAACACCTCCCAACCCACAGTTGAAAACATTAGCGAATTTTTAAAAACAATTCATCTTCCCAAGTTATCAGAGGATCAGTTAAATAACCTTAATCTCTCCCTTTACTGATGTTGAAATCATCAGTACTATCGAATCTCTGCCTTACAACAAATCACCGGGCCCAGGTTGGCTTCACAGGGGAATACTATATAAAGCCTTTAAAACACATTCTTACTACACGTCTGAAGAGAGTGTATAGCCGTGCTGCTACCTCCGCCTCTTTTACCTTCTAAAATGCTCACTGCAATAATAGTTGCACTACCAACACTGGGAAAGGAACCTACCACACTGCAGAACTTTTCGCCCCATTTTGCTGCACTAAATAATTATCTAAAAATATATACACAAATTGGTGTGGCTAATAGGCTAGTTGATATACTACCCTCTCTCACCATTTAGACCAATCTGGGTTTACAAAAGGGTCGCCAAACCGCAGACGCAACCAGACACCTGATTAATATTATACATCTAGCTAATAAGAACAGAACGCCTGCTGCTCCTGGCTTTGGATGCAGAGTAAGGGGTTAGATAGAATACATTGGACATACCTGGCACATGGTACTTACTAAGTTTGAATTTCAAGGCCCAATTTACTCAGCCATATGACATTGTATACTAACCCCTCAGCCCAGGTCTAGTGTCCGGTATGTTGTCAGATCATGTAATATATCCATGGAAACATCGACAAGGATGCCCTCTTTTCCCTGCTTTTTAACTTACTGATGGAACACATGGCTACATATATACGCACACATCCACAGATAATGGGCTTCCTGCTAGGGAAATAGGATGCACACACCATTAGCCTTTTTCACAGATGACATCATAAGGATTCTTCACATGATGTGGAAACTGCGTTGGCTTCGGTGCATCTAGCATTAACGCTCTTTAATAAAGTATCTTATTTATAAGTGAATGAGATGAAATCATATATTTTAGATTTGGGGATACCAGCTGAAGCCAAACAGGTCCTCCAGTCTACTTTCCCTTATGTGTGGAGGATAGAGGGATTGCCTATTTAGGTATTACCTTACCCCTAGAACTGATGATCTCGTTAAGGAAATTTATAACACCTTCCTAGACTCTTTTTGTTACAAATTTGATATAATAGCCCTATGCGAAATGTCTTGGTCAGGAAGGTTTGGCAGCCTTTAAAATGCAGATTCTCCCACAATTACTTTTACCTATTTAGAGACTCTATGTGACTCCCCTCTTTACATAATTTCTATTTCCTCGTCAATTACAGTCCATACTAAACAAAATATCTCTGGCAAGGCAAGATGGCACGTTGTGCTTTTAGCAACTTATTAAATATATAAACACAGTGGGGGGCATGGGACAGTGCTCATTTACACGTCTATATTATTACGTTTGCTGGCTTCCATGCTTGCTCCACTTAAAAAGTGGTTTGCTTCTCAACCTCGATACTTCATGGACAGAGAACTAGAACAAATTCAAGTGTCAGGCAGGAACCTGTTATAACTATTTAATATCAATGCGGTGCCATATTAACTCATAAAAATACCAAGCTTTGCAACGCCACTATTTAAAGCTTCCGTAGAAGCATGGAAAATCCTCCAAATAATCCATAGTAAAATTAAAATCATAATTATATAACACACAAATCCTCATCCAGACTAAACCTTCCAAATTGGCAGTTGAGAGGCTATTTTAAACCTTGGATGATTTTCTATATTTGCCCTGCTCTAATAACCTTACAGTTGTGTCCAAAATTATTCACCCCCACTGAAATTGACGTGTTTTGGTCGTTAGAGCCATTGTTTTGATCATTCAGTTCTCTTGCATCATCCTTTACATTAACAGAGGCACTTGTAGGTGCAGACAAATATAACTATCTCTCAGTTTAATAATGAAATAACCCACAAATGTCTCTTTCTGCTGCACACACGCATTATCAGAACAAATTTTATACAACCCCCAAGTGACTATTCAATCTTAGTACTTAGTACAGCCTACTGCTTTTTACAGTTATAACAGCTTTTATACGTCGAAGAATAGCATTGAACAGACAAGTGCTCTTGCAGCGATTACGGGTATCTTCGTGTGTTAATGGGCAAAGCCTCCAAGTTCAGTCACATTCTATAGGTTGGCTCTCTGCAATGCTTTCTTTAGTCCCCACCCGAGGTTCTCAATCGGATTTCCGTCTGTGACTGCGATGGCCACCTCAACATGTTCAGCCTTCCTCTGCAGACCAATGCTCTATAGTGGTACTCGCGAGGGTTGCTTGGGATCATTGTCCTGTGAAAGGTCCACACGCGCGCATCCAGCCTTTAGTGACACTTGCTCGCTCGGCCGCCGCACTCCGCACGTCGCTCACCACTCTCAAATATCTCAGGTATGAGTAGAATTCATGGTACCATGCTCGAAGAAGCTTCCCTGTACCTGCAGAAGCACAAAACAGCCCAAAGCATGATTGACCCTCCACCATCGCACTCCGCCACCACCGCTAGGTCACGTGTGTCTTTTCTCATAGGACCTTGTTCTCCATCCTCCAACATAGCGTGTATCCTATGGGTCCAAAACAGTTCTATATTTTGTCGCGCCATCAGTCACTAGAATCACTATCCACACACTTTTCCGCGCGCGCGCGCGCTGCTCGCACATGGCTTTCGCGCACTCTCTCGCGCATGTCGATCTCTTATTCTTTCGCGAAGGACAGCAACTGCGGTTAACGCGCTGATAACGAGAGATGTGGCACGGAGGCTCTTCATTAGACAGAGTGCTGATCTTATTGTCTGGCTGAAATGTCTGTACCACTACTAGAACTTCCGCCTCTTTCTCCAGAACGCAAGTCACGCATCACTTAAATCCTCTCATACAGCTTGTATGTTGTTCGCCTCCTCGCAGAGCCAAGCACTCGCTGGTGACTGATGAGGAACTGAGAAAAGATTTGTCAGATGTGCCGGATACAGTGAGTGAGTTTCAGCAGGACAATAAGCCCGACACACTGCGTAATGAATGTGCCTCCGTGCCTTAGAACTCCAGGCGTACCCCCTTGCTGTCTCCAAAGATTAAGAAGAGCTCTGACTGCAGTATGCCCAAAGCATGTGGACAAACCACAAAAGTTGTGAGTTCAAATATCGGATAGTAGTTCTGTGAGCAACTGATATGAAACAAAATTAGAACTGTTTCGCGCCATGGATCAACGTCTATGTTGAGAGGAGGAAGAACAACGGCCTATGATGAAAAGTAACCAACCTTAGCCTACTGTGAAGCTATGTGCTGGTTAGGTGTCAATCATCGCTATTGAGCAGGCTGTTTTGCTTTCTGCAATGTTCAGGGAAGCTTTAGCGGTGTGCAACAAGGATACTCCTGAAATTCTCTTCAGTACCAGGAGTTATGTGGATGAAACGTGATGCGAGTCCGTCACACACCTGAGGTTGGGCAGACGTTTGGACCTATTCAACAGGGAAATCGATCCCAGCATATCCTCCAAAACGTCAACCATAGAAGCTCATGGTTGCAGAGGAAATGCTGGACACAGTTTGGAAGTGGGCCATCGCAGATCACCAGACTTAAATACGACTTTGACGTACTTGGTGAGGACTTAAGGAACAGCAGTTGCAGTGGCAAAGCCAAGCAATGTGATGAACTAGGAGGCCTTTGACCCATGAAGTAGGCTGTGATAGGAGCTGAGAGGACGCTAGCATCGCGCAAAGACACTTGATAGTAAGCCTATGCTTCACGTTTAAAGTATGTTATATCTGCTAAAAAGGATGACCTGTACTAAGTTACTAAGAGTTGAATGTCACCTATGGGGTTGTTGAATAAAAACTGATTTGCTCGCTGTGAGCCAGAAAGACATTTAGTGGCTTATTCATTATAACTGACTCTTATGTTATATTTGTCTTGCACCTACAACGATGCCTCTGCTATGTATATGTATTGCAAGATGAACATGAATTGAATCAAAAGCCCAATGTCAAACTGGCCCAATACAGCTCAACTTTCAGTGGGTGGGTTGAATAATTTTGGGACACCAACTGTAAATGTTTTAGAGCAGGGCAAATGCATGAAAATCATCAAGAGTTAAAAGATGCCTCCTCACTCAGCCAATTTGTGTAAGCTTTAGGTTAGGTAATGATGGCGTGCCTAGGGTAATTACTTGCTAAAATTAATCCATGCTTTCTACGGAAGCTACTAATAGTGGTGTGATAAGTTGGTATATATTTTTGCACGTATATGGAGCATTGATATTAAATCAGTTATACAGGTTCCGCCCTGACTACTTGTAAATTTGTTCCTAGTTCTGTCATGAAGCTATCACGGTGATAGCAAACCACATTTTAAGTTGAGCAAGCATGGAAGCCCAGATTATATAA